CTGGCAAACTGAAACTTAAATTCCCATTTCCCTGCCTAATGATCAATTGTCCTTTTGAAGATTATTTCTTTCTAATAGACCTATTAAAGACATGCCCATAACCTAGTATTATTTACCCTTCACACATGACATCTTATGAATTCCTAAATTAACAAGTGAGATATTTTTGCAATGTTCCACATTTTTAGCAATCTTTTCAACTTTCAATAAAGTTTTCTAAGTGACCAGTTTTTACTCTGACTGGAGTATAGGTGAAAACTGTTTATTCCTTGTGTTTATTTCTGTATAAAATATTTATATCATTCTAAGACACTGAGTCACAGCTAAGTTGAACATTCTCATCTTACAGACAAGCTGTGCTTTCATTGGCTTCTTCTATTTCCAACTCCAGGGTTCAGTATCTTGGAGAAGAGAGATTGGGAATGGAGATATATACATACATACGTGTGTGTGTGTGTGTGTATTTTTTAATAAGAGGAATGTTTACAAAATGCTGACACTTTGCCAGGCCTACTCACTAGGTAGTTTTCTCTTTGGTCTGAGTACCACTGAATTTTGTGAGAGGTTGAAAATACAAATGTTAAATTACTAATACCAGGTGTCTACTGTGTCTCCAAATTAGCCTAGTATAAAATATTTTGGGTTTCTCGGGTGGCTCAGTGGTAAAGAATCTGCCTGCCAATACAGGAGATGTAGGTTCGATCTCTGGTTTGGGAAGATCCTCTGGAGGTGAAAATGGTAACCCACTCCAGTATTCTTGCCTGGAACATCTCATGGACAGAAGAGTATGGTGGGCTACAGTCCATGGTGTTGCAAAGACAACTGAGCACACACACACAAGATATTTTGACAAAATATTTTTTAATTTCAGGAAGTACTTCACAATATACTATCTCCTCTGTCTAATCTAATCTGTTCATCCAGAATTGCCAAATGGTTAACTTAGTCATCACTGCATTTCTAGTTGTCCTTTTAGTGGCATCCATGTCACATGTTCTCCTGTTGTCTATTTATTTCTTTCATTCTCACAGCTTCCATGAGCTAATGTGGCTAATTCTCAATTCAGATACATACATTTTTTGGTAAGCAGTCACTGTACACTGGGCTTCCCTTGTGGCTCAGCTGGTAAAGAATTCGCCTGAAATGCAGGAGACCCAGGGTTCGATCCCTGGGTTGGGAAGATCCCCTGGAGAAGGGGAAGGCTAGCCACTCCAGTATTCTGACCTAGAGAATTCCATGGACCATATAGTCCACAGGGTTGCAAAGAGTCAGACATGACTGAGCGACCTTCACTTCACTTCACTGTACATTACACATTTCCTCAGTTAGGCCTCTCAAGGGATGTAAGATCTAGTATTACCCTCGTTCTATAGATAATTAATCTGAGCTCTATCTGATTCCAAAACCCAAGCTATGTTGGCTTTCAGAAACCACTGCACCTCTAGGATACTTAGCAGGCAACACAAACCCACCATACTCCAAAGAGAATGATAGTCTCCCTTGGGAAAATCAGCAACAGTTCCAGACTTTACTCAACTCTGTTTCTTTTAGTGGAACCACCATCCTGGTCTGGCCTGAGATCTCAGTGTCATTTTTAATGGCTTGCTGTTTCTCCATCTCTTTTTCCAGTTAAGTAGTTGCCTGGTCCTTTCTCTGCAGTATCTCTGACAGGTGTCTTTTTCTTTCCATTGCCACTCATGCCCCCAAACCCCAACTAGCTTTACCTCTTACTTGAATGCTAAATTGGTCTCTAATTTAGTGTTATTTTTTTCCCATCTCTCTCTTTCCTCTGCAATTAATTTTATTTTCCTTTTCTAGTTTAAACTTAAATCACAACTCCAATTAGCCATTTAAATCCTCAGAGTATTTCATAGGTTCATCACTGGCTACCAGATGAAGAACAAAAGCTTCTAGCTCATATTCAGTGTCTTCCTTTATTGTTGTTCAGTTGCTAAGTCATGTCTGACTCTTTGAGACCCCATAGCCTGCAGCACACCAGGCTTCCCTGTCCTTTTTTTATCTCCTGGAGTTTGCTCAAACTCCTGTCCATTGAGTTGATGATGCCATCCAACCATCTCATTCTCTGTTGCCGCCTTCTCCCCCTGCCCTCAATCTTTCCCAGAATCAGTTTTTTCCCCAGTGAGTCAGCTCTTCACATTAGGTGGCCAGAGTATTGGAGCTTCAGTGTCAGTATTAGTTCTTCCAATGAATGTTCAGAGTTGATTTTCTTTAGGATCTAACCAGTCTTCCTTTATGGTGGAGATTAAAAAGGAAACAAACCCCAAACACCTGCCCTCATCAGACATATATGAAGCTAGGTTGGAGCAAAGCTTTCTCCTTTACTACAAACAACCACACGCCAGCCTGGACATAATAAATGGTAACTGACACTTGCAGAGACAACAGGAAGTATGAGGACCTGAAGGCATCAGGAAATTTATACCCTGTCCAGGGGTCCACTTTCTGCTCTGCTCTCTCCACTGACCTGTAGGAAGGCAGGCCCAGGGTTGTTGCCAGAACTTTAGATTTTTTTCAAGAGAAGCCAAACTCTTAGACATTTGTATGTAATTCTCCCATTTTTAAAATACTGGTAGCTACTTCAAATATAGCTAGCTTTCACTCTCTCTCCCTCTTTCTGTGTCTTTCTATGTCTGCAGTTAGAAAATAAAGCTAACACTGACCAGGTCAAATAAGTCATGGGGTAGCTGCATTCGGTTTGTGGTCTGAAAATGTGCTCCTGCTGTAAGTAGCCTGCTTCTCTCACCCACTCTGTGGGCTTTATGTCCTGCTCCCAACCTTTCTCCCGGCCTGACTTCCGTGGTCTTGTCTCTCTTCCTTTGTTTTTGTGGTTCCAATCTGCAGAAAAACCTCCTTTATATCCAGTCTATTGAAGCCTTTCCTATGATTGCAGTCTGCCTCAAATGCTATGTCCTCCACAAAGTCTCGCCTGAGTCTCTCAGCCAGGCATCTTCCTTTCTTACAAACTTGAGTCCTCTCTTCTGTGGTCCATTTCCTCCTACTTGACTGGAAGATGCATGAGGTAAGGACATCTCTGAAACCTCACAGTCTTTGGCAATAGCTTCTACATATAGCTGAACTTCAATAAATCTTGTTTTGAACTTGCCAAGAACGGGAGGAAGAGTCTCTGTTTTTGGATATTTTTGTTTCAATTTAGAAATTGCAGGTCACCTGCTTCTTATCTAAAGAAGATGGGTTCATCTAGTCCTCTTCTTTCTTGCACAGCCCAGATAGCATTTCACCATGTCTATGAAAACTCACCTTTGTAACCCAAAGTGTAACATGGCATCTGCTTGCTTTAAGGAGAGAAAACATCATTGTGCAGGAACATCTTCTGGTATGTGGAAAGTTGATCCGACCCAGGATCCTTTCTCAGTAATAGGATCCTAGCCCACTCCTTTCTCAATAATAAGGCTTCAGATTTGCTCATTCTTGTTCTCATTTAGAGCACTTGTATTCTTTCAGACCCTATGAGGTATCATTCCATCTTCAGAATCAGTGCTCTGAACCTGAAGTTTCCCTGCTATGCCACATCAAGTTCTGGACTGCTTCTGCTGATCAGATAACAGACCATCAGGCGGCTACCACATAGCCAGTGAATGACCACAGAGTACATCGGGAACTTAGTCGTGCATATTTAAAATCACTCAGCCTGAGCATTTTTATTGATGAATAATAGGTGTTTTTATGTACCTATATCACCATACTGAAGTTTAAAAACAAACGTGCTGCAGCAGTTGGATCCTCAGCTTTTGGGTGTAGAAAAGCCTTTACAGAAAGCAGTGCTCCTGTATAATCCTAATTCTTGCGCTCTAATCAGCTTGAGGGTTTTAGTTATAGTTTAAGAAACTTTGCTCAAGCCAGGACATGCCCTAAACTATCTTCTCATGAGCAGAGTTGTAGTTCTGTTGGTATCTAGCATAATACACATCAAAAACTGTTAAAAATATTCAGTGTTACAGTATTCAAGAAACCCTAAAAGAAAAATACCAATTTCCCAACCACCTAACGTGGAATCATTAATTTGATTCCTTGTTTCCTTTCAGTATTTCTTCAAATCTGCAAATATATTTTAACTAGTGTCAAGCATACTTTGTGTGGTAAGCACACATTATGAACTGCAATTTTGTTTTATATTAAATATTCTTAACCCAACAAAAATGATTCTGGTATATGCCAGTATATTGTTGTATTTTTTAATGGAAAGTGATCTAGAGCTATAATAGGACCTGCATGTGTATATTCTGAGGTTTTTAGTTCCTTGAGGGATTAAGAAAAAAGTCATAAAGTAACAACCTCACCAACCATGTGTGTTTAGCCTCACACTTCAGTAGCATATTATTTGCCAGCGCTAGAAACACAGCCCTGTGATGAGTATGCACAATAGAGATTCATATATAAACTAAAATAACTGTGAGACGGATGCTGGCCAGTATTCATCTTTAAATGGGTTTAACTTGTATCTATGAAGAATTTCAGCTTTAAGAAATGGTTGACACTGATGCCTTATCAGCCAGTCCTGAGCCCCACGTGGTCCAGGTGGCATTTCTTGAGGGAATACTGGGGCGTCTCTGCAGTGGAGGGGCTCACAGGGATATGTCCCTTCCTTCTTGACTTCCAGTGTATTGAACATTATTGCATTCTGTGCACTCAGTTAAGTAGGCTTATGGATTATATTTTTTATTTAAAAAAACAACTCACAATGGACAATTAACTTAAAATTTCACAAAAGAAGTAAAGTGTTGAAGATAATACTGATAATAACAAGCACATTGTAGCAAACATAAAAATTCTTTTGCAGAGAAGGAAATGGCAACCCACTCCAGTATTCTTGCCTTGAGAATCCCATGGACAGAGGAGCCTGGTGGGCTACAGCCCATGGGGTCACACAGAGCCGGGCACACCTGCACACGCATGCACACACGACGCAGGCAAGCCCCTCGCACGGGAGGGGCCTGACCGGCCTTCTGCCTCTGTTGCAGGGCTGCTTCAGCGTGCGCTCCAGCGAGAAGAAGCTGGCGTCCTCCAGACGGTGAGCACGCGCTGTGTGGCCAGACCACACCGGAGCACGTGCCGGGGCCCGTCCCACCTGGGGCCCGCAATAAACGTGTGCGACTCACCTTACAAAAAAAAAAAAAAAAATTCTTTTGCATAATTAGTGGAGGAGAAATACATATGACAGTTCATTTTAATGTATTATTAAACAGCATTTTTCATTCTCAGTAATTCCTTTCTACAGGAATTACTGTTTTTTAAAGGCTACTGCTCCAACACAAGCTTCACTGTGATGTGGGGCAGCACAGAATGTCCGCCTTTATGGCCAGGAGCTCTGAGGCTGTGAGCGATGAATCTGGGGACCACAAAGCCCCTTGGATGGGGTGCAGCAGCTGCACTGGGGACCTTGAGGATTCCAAGGAGCAGGCATGGGGCCATCTGCTGGGGATAGGATGGATGCTCAACCCGCTAACCCCTCTCTTTTTTGGCCCTGGCACTTTATATCCCTCCCCCCACCCCCAGCCCCAGTGAAGGAGCAGCAGAGGGAAGATGAGAGAAACTCTGGGACTAGGAGCAAACTTGCAGCTACTCTGTGGAACTGGGGGCCTAAAAGAGAAATCTGAGACATTTATAGAAAAATAAAGATTTTGAAATATAGATCAGAACTGAGTTTGTAGCCCGAAAATTATACCAGGTCTTTATGCCGAGAGCAGTTTCAGTTCCCCTTTATATATCTTCCTGTTCTGACTAGTGGTTCCCAAACTCGTCTGCATCTTGGCTCCACCTGGGCAGTTTAGACAACCATCTGTGCTTGTGGCCCATCCCTACTGATTGTCATTTCAGCTGATCCGGGCTGTAACCTGTGCTTTGCGATTTTGCTTTTTTTAACATTTTTATTTTATATTGGAGTAGAGTTGATTAACAGTGTTGGGTTAGTTTCAAGTGTACAACAGTGTGATTCAGTTGTGCATATATGTGTTTTGTTTTTAAAATTCTTTTCCCATTTAGATTATTACAGAGCATTGAGCTGGTTCCCTGTGCTATACAGTAGGTCCTTGTTGGTTATCTATTTTTTTCTGAGTTAATCTCTTTTTAAATTTTTAATTGGAGGACAATTGCATTACAATATTGTGTTGGTTTCTGCTCTGTAATTTTTAAAAGATCCCAGGTGATCCTAATTTGCAGGCAGGATTGGGAATCGCTGCTTTAGAACAATTCCAGTGTTCTGTCAGTATATAAAACACATAGCTCATTTCTGTGCCTTTTCAAACAGGAAGCTCACTTACTCCTAATGACTAATTTTGAACTACAAATATCAAAATACATTTTGAAATTAAAATTTACTTTGTGTTGCAAGTAATTGTGTTCCAATACCAAACAAAAGGCAAACAGAACTGGAGAATTTTTAATAGAAACATTTCTAATAGAAGCAATGTAATCTCCTTGCTCTGGGATTTATGGCTAAAGATATTTAAGTAAATTTTTCAGTCACACCAAATCTGGTAAGACAAGTATCATTTCCATGATCGTCAAGAATCACCAGTCCAGGTTCGATGCATGATACAGGATTCTCAGGGCTGGTGCACTGGGATGACCCAGAGGGATGGGATGGGGAGGGAGGGGGAGGGGGGTTCAGGATGGGGAACAGATGTACACCCGTGGCGGATTCAAGTCAATGTATGGCAGAACCAATACAATGTTGTAAAGTAAAATAACTAATTAATTAAAAGTATTGTAGTAAATCGAAGATAAAACCTTGTCCTGATCTTTGATGAAGACTGCATATGTCTGCTCTGAAACATTTAGTGTAGTTCTGGCCAATAGACTTTAAGAAAGACAGAGAAAATCCAGAAAATAGAAAAAGGAAATCATAAACTATTGAAGCAAAGTAGATGGTAGGTAGTGGGTAGGAGGAGATCTCATTTTTGAGAGAAAAGAAAATCTAGTCTTTTGCAATCTGAAAGTCAGTGTGATAGTTTATTTAAAACCTCTTAAAACTCACTAAGGGCTTCCCTTGTGGCTCAGCTGGTAAAGAATCTGCCTGGAATGCGGGAGACCTGGGTTTGCTCCCTGGGTTAGTAAGATCCCCTGGAGAAGGGAATGGCTACCCATTCCAGTATTCTTTCCTGGAGAATTCCATGGGCTGTATAGTCCATGGGGTCACAAAGAGTCAGACATGAGTGAGTGACTTTCACTTCTCCTTTTTTCATGTCTGTCCATAGGCATCGGATGGAGAAATATCTGAATATCTTTCTTTCCTTTACTATACAACACATTAGTGTCTTGGGCAGCACATCCTTTCTCACTATTCCCATAAGTAGAAGATACCCAGAGTAAAGATTAAAATATCACTTGCTCAAGAGTAAACCTTTATTTTCTTTTTCAGGTACCTAATCCAACTGATTCTACCTTATAAAGGCCTTTGAATATCACTCTTCTCCCCTTGCTTCTAGTTCAGGCCGGCGTGTCCTTCCTGGGTTACTGCGGTAGTTTCCTAACTGGTCTTCATGCATCCTGACTCGTTCTCTTCCAGTCTATTCCAGTATCAGGACACACACCACTCTGTAATCTGGTCCTCCATTTTTATCACATTTTTTCCCACCATCCAACATAGTACATGGCATGTAGAGGACAGAGAATAAATATTTCTTGTGTAAATTGAGGAATATAGGTCTTTGCCCTCTTTCCTCCTCATTATACACCACCCCAAGCGTCTCTTGAATGAGGAAGCTCTCTGGCTAAAACAGATGAGTTATGAAGCATGGCTGCAAGAGCAACCATGTGAGGAAACAGATACACATATGCTCCTCAGCTAAACTTCTTGACATCACCAATTTGGAGATTATGATCAAATGCCAAGTCTGTTGTCGTTACCTTCTAAAAGCTCTAGGAGAGAACGTTTCTGCCTTTTCATTTCTTGAATTAGTCAATGCTGTACTATGTAGGGGGCTCCCCTGGTGGCTCAGACAGAAAAGAATCAGCCTGTAATACAGGAGACATGGGTTCAATCCCCAGGTCAGGAAGATCCCCTGGAGAAGGGAATGGCTGCCATTCCAGTATTCTTGCCCGGTTAATTCCATGGACAGAGGAGCCTGGCAGGCTATGGTCCATGGGGTTGCAAACAGTCAGACACAACTAAGCGACTATGTAGAGTGAATAATTAGCTACAGGTTTATGAATGGCTCTTGTTAGGTTGATTCAAATTTATAGCTTTATGTCTTTATGTTCTGTATATTAGTCTGTCCATGATACTTCATTAACTTTTACTTAATTCTAAATTAAATATTTCTTGTTCAATTTCCAGGAATTTGGTTGGTCACAGCAGTAATTTTAAACTTAAAATTGCCAAGTGCAGAGCATAGTGTGTCTAAAGCTGTGCTTTTCTATAAAATTTTAATTTCAGTATGGATAATCATAATATCATAATTGCCGTAAGATCATGGCATCCAGTCCCATCAATTCATGGCAAATAGATGGAGAAACAGTGGAAACAGTGGCAGACTTTATTTTTGGGGGCTCCAAAATCACTGCAGATGGTGACTGCAGCCTTGAAATTAAAAGACGCTTACTCCTTGGAAGGAAAGTTAGGACCAACCTAGACAGCATATTAAAAAGCAGAGACATTACTTTGCCAACAAAGATCCATCTAGTCAAGGCTATGGTTTTTCCAGTAGTCATGTATGGATGACTATAAAGAAAGCTATAAAGCTTTCTATAATGAAAGCTGAACGCAGAAGAATTGATGGTTTTGAACTGTGGTGTTGGAGAAGACTCTTGAGTCCCTTGGACTGCAAGGAGATCCAACCAGTCCATCCTAAAGGAATTCAGTCCTGAATATTCATTGGAAGGACTGATGCTGAAGCTGAAACTCTAATACTTTGGCCATCTGATGCGAAGAACTGACTCATTTGAAAAGACCCTGATGCTGGGAAAGATTGAAGGCGAGAGGAGAAGGAGACAGCAGAGGATGAGATGGCTGGATGGCATCACTAACTCAATGGGCATGAGTTTGAGTAAACTATGGGAGTCGGTGATGGACATGGAGGCCTGGCGTGCTGCAGTCCATGGGGTCGCAAAGAGTCAAACATGACTGAGCTACTGAACTGAATCATAATTAGATTAACAAATTTCAATATTTCTTGAGTCTTTTAAAAAGCAATTTTGTGCATACATTTTCTGATTATTTATACAAATGGAAATGTACTTGTATTTTAAAATTTGACATTATACTTCACCTGATGTTACCTTGTCACGAGGAACATGGAGCACATGGCATGTGCAGAACTTCAGTTCAGTCGCTCAGTCCTGTCTGGCTGTTTGTGACTCCATGGACTGCAGCAGGCCAGGCTTCCCTGTCCATCACCAACCCCCAGAGCTTTCTCAAACACATGTCCATTGAATCAGTGATGCTATCCAACCACCTCATCCTCTGTTGTCTCCTTCTCCTCCTGCCTTCAATCTTTCCCAGCATCAGGGTCTTTTCAAATGAGTCAGCTCTTCACATCAAGTAGCCAAATATTGGAGTTTCAGCTTCAGCATCAGTCCTTCCAATGAATATTCAGGACTGATTTCCTTTAGGATGAACTGGTTGGATCTCCTTGCTGCCCAAGGGACTCTCAAGAGTCTTCTCCAACACCATAGTTCAAAAGCATCAATTCTTCGGCCTCAGCTTTCTGTATAGTCCAACTCTCACATTCATACATGACCACTGGAAAAACCATAGCTTTGACTAGACAGTTGTCCGTAAAGTAATTTGTAAATAAAGTAATTTGTAATTTGTAAACAAAGTAATTTGTAAAGCAAAGTAATTGTGCAGCAGTTAGTGACCCACACAATAAAGGTTGTTGGCAAGAAGAAAAAGAAAGGAAAGTAACCTCTCTCAATTTTTAAAAAATAAGTGTTTGTTATTTCTGTTAACTTCCCAAGCCCTTGGTGAATCGTTGAAGGCATCAGCAATACTTTCAAAACAAATTTTGAAAAATGATATTGTGATCTGATATGCATTGTCAAGATTTTCCTGAGATTAACTTCATCTGTTTATTGTCCAAATGTATTTCTTTTGTATAAAATAATTATTCCTTTATCCCATTTTTCTACTTTTTCCTTGTTGATTTGTATGACTTTGTGTATTCTTGATACTGTCACCTTCCATGTCTTCTGTCATTTTGTGGCTAGTTTTGCCATTTTCTTTAACTGTCTTTTAATTTTAATATGAGTTCAACTGTCAATATCTTTTTTTACAAATTAAGCCATTTATACATAAACATGCACACACATATTAAAACCTGATATTTAACATATGAGTGAAGTCACTCAGTCGTGTCTGACTCTTAGCGACCCCATGGACTGTAGCCCACAAGGTTCCTCCATCCATGGAATTTTCCAGGCAAGAGTACTGGAGTGGGTTGCCATTTCATTCTCCAGGGGATCTTCCCAATCCAGGGATCGAACCTGGGTCTCCCGAATTGCAGGCAGATGCTTTACCATCTGAGTTACCTGGGAATATACATGTGAATTATATGCATATTTCTAAATGTCATTTTTATGATTCTAAACCTCATTATTTGAAAAGCCTATTATTTGTGGGGTGGGAGAAAGCAGAACATTTATACCACATTGATTACAAGTGCTATTCTGAGTAGAGATTTGTCCAATAAAAAATAATCTTCATATTGAATAAATAGTGCATTTTACATTTATTTATTATATGCAAAACTCCAACTACAACGATTATCCTGATACTTTCCTATTTATCCCAGGCCAAAAAATTATACCGTATACACAGTGACAATGTATATTCTCTATAGAGATAATATCTTCTGATAATTACTTGACATTTATAGGCAGATGACTAGTGATGGATCCCAAATCTAAGAAATCACTTCATAATATCTTTTGAGTCGCATCATAAATGCCAGAACATAAAATCATAGCTAACGCTTATTGTGTGAGCACTTGATAATTACCAGACACTGTTCTAAGCATCTCATAGGCATTAATCTATATAGTTCTCACAGCCTCTCTATGAGGTGATCACCACCATCCCCACTTATATATGATAAAACTGACAGAAGTCAAACAACTCACCCCAGTTGTGCTGAAAAAATACTGGAGCTAGAATCTGAATACAGGCTTACTGGGACACTTTTGAAAACAAAAGCTGCTGCTGCTAAGTTGCTTTAGTCGTGTCTGACTCTGGGAGACCCCATAGACGGCAGCCCACCAGGCTTCTCCGTCCCTGGGATTCTCTAGGCAAGAACACTGGCGTGGGCTGCCATTTCCTTCAATGCATGAAAGTGAAAAGTGAAAGTGAAGTTGCTTAGTTGTGTCTGAGTTTTAGCAACCCCATGGAATGCAGCCCACCAGGCTCCTCCATCCATGGGATTTTCCAGGCAAGAGTACTGGAGTGGGGTGCCATTGCCTTCTATGAAAACAAAAGCTACTACTGCTCAAAACACCTTGGACCATAGGTGTAACCAGGCAGGGTGTTGGTACCGACCATATGTGTGGCCACCTAGCCGTGAAACATCTTCCAAGGATTTTTATCCCTTTGGAAGCATAATCTTTGTGAGTCTTGGCATCCTTTAATGTGAACATAGCTAGTCCTTCTCCTTTTTGCTTTGAGGAGTCATTCACACCTTGAGGCCTCAACCCCAAGCAAGACTCAGCATCTGGAGTCCTGCCAGAGTGGGCCTCTTAGATTCCTTGCTCTGCCTTCTCCATGACTGCCTGGACCTCAGTCAGAGATGCCTCCATGCTAAACCTGTGTGTCATAAGGATTGGTCCTCACATTCTAACCTCTTTTAGATAGAAACAAAGATGACACATCTAGGCCTTCATGCTGTGTAAGAGGAAGGAAATAAATACTGTGTTTTTGAAATATAGCTCAAGAGTGAGAGAACAGTGAAGCTGAGACTGTAGGGCTTCCAAGGCCTTATTTGGCTTTTCTGCTGATTTATCATCCTATATATTGTTGCTTTATCATCCTATATATTGTTGCTGTGTAAAAAAGTCTGTGACGAGGCACGAATCAGCATCAGTCTTCTTACAGCATCCTGAAAAGCGACCATCATTTACTACTGTTTTTGTATAAAGATAAATTAAGGTTTCCCTTTCTTTGTCTCTTTCTTATTTAATTGGGCTCATTTCAAGGTCAGGTATTGTATATATTTTAAAATTTTCTATATATTATTATACTTTGACACATTAAAAAAAAAATCTTTCCGGCTGTGGAGAAATGGCCCCTTCTTGAGGCAAGCCAATTCTTAGAAATAGCAGAGGTTCCAATGCAAGCATGCCTTTGTTATGTAAGTGAAAGTTGCTCGGTCATGTCCGACTCTTTGAGACCCCATGGACTGTACAGTTCATGGAGTTCTTCAGCCAGAATACCAGAGTTGGTAGCTCCTCTCTTCTCCAGGGATCTTCTCAACCCAGAGGTCAAACCCCACAGGTCCCCCACATCGCAAGCGGGCTCTTCACCAGCTGAATCATCAGGGAAGCCCTCACCAGTTAAAGCAGCCCTCCTCATCTGGTCGGTACACCCCAGGCACAATGTACCCCTACTTCCCTCATCCCAAGGCCAGGTGCCAGGCAACTAGAGGGCCATCCCTGTTAGTCCAAGGCCCTTTGAAATAATTCCAGTTAGCCAATCCTGACCCTTTACCTGCCCTATCTTGCTTTTCCCACAGAAACCCTGACAAAGATAGAGGCCCAATCTTTCTTCCTCCTCTCTTCTGCCTGTGATCACCTGGGTGATCTTCCATGTGGGCCTGCTGTGCCTCCTCCCAAGACCTGTGAGTGTAAGAACTTTGTCTTTCTGAATGTCTTGTCTGTCCTGCTCTTACGGCCAATCAGCAAAGTGCTCTGGGCGTCGCTCTTTACCCAGCAGCAGCAGTGCCCTTCTGAGACGTTTGCTCATCTGATTGTCAGCTGCTCCACCTGGGCCCAGCTGAGAGGTCCTCGGCTGCCTGGATGCCTCACGCTGTTGTCTGAGGATGAGGCATGACAGCTGTGAGGTAACAGTACTGCATCAAAGCCGCACTTCACTGTTAGGGCTGGTCCTGATTCAAGTGCTTCTCATTCACAGAGAAGCTCTGCAACTGAAAGGGGAAACTTGAAAACACTTTCTTGATTTAATAGGTTTCTCGGTTGTACTTTTTGATAAAGGGCTTTTATTGACTCAACAATGTTAGTCTTGTTGAATAAAGCATCTACACAGATGAGAAAAACCTGATCTGTAATGAGCTGTGAGTGATTTTTTTTGGTGTTCCTTTATTGGCCTCATACAGAAGCTCAGTACATTTGGTTTGATATTTGGCTTAATTTCCCTTAGCTATGTCCAAAAACAGAAGCTCTTAAACTGAGCCACAGCTATTAATCATATAACAGGTGATTACTAAATGTGGAAGGAACAATAAAGGGAGTCACTGGTTATTTTTAGACTGTGATGTGATCCTTATTTTACCATGTTTTTCTGAATATTGGCATGCTTAAAATTCAAATGGGAAAGTGGTTTCTCCATTGTACAATAGAGTGAAAGTTATAGGTCAAGTTTATCTTAAAGCTACTTAATAGTTTGGTTTTACTAATAAGTAATATATTTTTAATATGTTATCAATAATGGTAAATACTTTGGGGAGAAGAACACCTTCCCTTATATTTTCATTTTATGGAGTCTTGGCTATTCAGGATGGTATTCCAAAACTTTCATGTTTGTTGTAAATTATAAATTTATTTGATTATTCACTTGAGGTATTCAAGAGATTAGAGATTCTTTTTCTGTTTGTTTTTTGTAATTTTTTAAATGTAATTCAAATTAAATTCTATTCATTTAATAAAGGCATTTGGGAATTTTAAGAACTGCAAGTCAGATAAAAAGCCACATTTATTAGCCCAAGGAGATCACTATAAAGCTCAGATGTAAAACCAATTTCTCACAACACACAAAAGGTAGAACTCCCTTTAGTTTGTGGCAGCCATCAGGAAACAGTGATATATTGTTCTTCCGCACTAAGTTGCTTCACTACCAGCAGATTTTAGTTAACATTATTATGATAGTGAATGACCCTAGAGAGGCTTCGTTCCTTTAAGGCTCCTTCCTAACAGCCTGCAGCTGTGTGAAGGCCGTCAGCTGTGGGTGTCTCTGATGGGCGTGTTAAGTGTTGGAATGTCGCTGCATATGGTTCTGTGGGCTGCCCCTGACGACTCATATTCCGTCAGGCCAGCTGTCAATGGCGTTTCTCAGCTGGGCTGAGGACTTGAAAAGCTGCTCTGTAGTCTTTGTTGCTATTGAAAAGCTCAGCGCTCTCTGCAGTGTGTAAAAGATGGAGAGACACTCCTGTTGGATTAACGCAGCCAAGGCTCTGAATAGGACAGTCTCCTGAGCTCTCTGTAAACTTTTTTTTTTTTTTTAACATACTAAAGTCCACTTGGTTGGGGAGATACAGAGTAACTTGGAGAGAAATTATTATTGTTTCAATTGCATGAAAATATAACCACACATTTGCAAAAGAGGACCACAGATTTAAGAAGTGATTATTTTGTTGGCTTGTAATGGATGTTTTAACTTTAAAACTTGTTTGCTGAAGAAAAGCAAAGAACATAAAAAGGTAATGTCAGTTTTACTGTAAAACGTTAATTTAGAAAGAATTAATGGCATCATTATGTTTTTCATTTGGGAAAACAAAGAGGGACGTTATTGACAGAGAGCATAAAACCTGCAAACTACATATAAAATTAAATAGAATTTAAAGGGGACAAGAGGTAAACATACAAAGCCTAAATCTGTAAAGAGGTTAAAGTTTTATTTTTTACTCTTTTATTTAGGATCAGTTGTGTAGAGTGTCTGAAGAAAATAATGTGTTTATGTTTATATGTTACCCTCTGTTGATTTTTAGACATTTGTCTCTTTTTTGGGGGGGGTTATTTTGTTTTAAGAAGATAGGTAAGAAGGAGACAGTTTCTAGGGAAAAGAATTTCAAATGATTGCCTTCCTATCTTTTGACTTGCCTTTAAACATTCATTTAATTTCTCTGTGTTTCCGTTTACCTGTTTTCATAGAAGTCAAGAAAATTCCAGGATATGAGGACTGTCTTTATAAATACTTATACTTTCCCAATAGTCCTAATGTCTGTACAAGTGATGTTGTAACAGAAAGGGACAATAATGATTATTCCTATTTCATTAGGTGTTAGAGTAAAAATGTTCCTGCATTGCCAAGATCAATTGAAGCATGTTTCAATAGAAACTCAAAGCTAAAGGCTCTAGAGAACTTCAGTGGAACTTCATTTACCCAAAATTAATGGGTTCCAGTGCAGTTGGAACTCCAAGAAAAGGGGTATCACTGTATGATCCTCACCTCTCTAATTACATAGCTACTTTGATTTTGATTTAACACTATCCTCACATTTTCTGAGTTTGTGTATATTGTGACAGCCATTTGTTACTGTCCACACACCCACTACTTTATCTTTCCTCATACATTTCATGTCTTCATCATGAAGACATGTTTTATAGGCAACTTTTCTATTATGTCTTCCAAACAAATATCAATAGTTGGCCCCTTAAGTCTTTTCTTATATAGTGTAAGAAATGTAATAATTATTCCTTGATGCTTCCTTGGAAAGCAAGTGCAAGTGTGGAAATAAAGCGCTTTATTCACTTAAACTGTTTTCTAGAATGTGTTAGCTTACATAAGATACATGTTAGAAAATAGGATGCTGAGAATTAGAAGAGTGAACATTTGAAATGTGGAGGGTTTATTAAATATTGGCAAACAAGTACTTAGGTTTAAAATATAGAGATCATATATATAGCACAGTAAGCTTGTTTCTTAAATACTTCAACCAGGATTGTTATCAAGCCTATTTGTGGTTTTATTTCACAAAACATTAAGAAGAAAAAGAAAGATAAAGAAAAAGCACAAGATAAAAATTGCAAAGATGTCCAGCACAATAATTGATTACTTTTTATATGATAGTACTGCGTCTGTTTTATCTGCATTTGGAGTAAAATTATGGCAGAGTCAGCAAGCACCCCCCTCCCACCCAGATGTCCCCTTTCATGTTTTCACCGAGGACACACAGGTAGGGAGCATCTCGCTTATTCAGATACACCTTAATCAGTTAGTTAAATTATAAAAATTAGGCCCTGTGTGGAAACTGAGAATATGAAGAATAGGAACATTATTTCCCAAGCAAAAGTAAACTGGAATTTGGGGAGCTCAGGGAATGTGGAAAGTTAATTATAGAAAAAATGAGAGTGCTAGAACAATTAAACATCCACAGGCAAAAAAGTAAATCTAGACCCAAGCTTTTCACACACTCACCAAAACTGACTCAGAACAGATCCTTGACCTAAATGCAAAAGGTGAAACTAGAAAATAACATAGGAAAGAAGTCTAAATGACCTGGGGCATGACAGTGGCTAGATATAATATCAAGGTACCATCCATGAAAAACATATTTGATAAACTGGCCTTCATTAAAACTAAAATCCTACTCTATGAAGGACAATGTCAAGAGAATGAAAAGATGTTATATATCAATGTCATTGGGAAACTGCAAATTAAAGAACAATAAGATGTTAGAATGGTCACAATCCCAAACACTGACAACATCAAAACCTGGGGAGGATAAAGAGCAACAGGAACTCTCATTCATTGCTAGTGGAATGCAAAGCACTGGGTTGGTTAAAAGTTTGTCCCGGTTTTTCTGTTACATCTTATGAAAAACCTGAATGAACTTATTGACAACCCAATAGTACAACCACTCTGAAAGATAGTTTGACAGTTTTTTACAAAGCTAAACACTCTTACCATCTGAACTAGCAGTTGTGTCCCTTGGATTTTACTTAAAGAATGGCAAACTTATGTCTACAGAGAACCTGTTCAGGGATGTTGATAGCATCTTTATGCATAATGACCCCAACCTGGAAGCAACCAAGATGTCCTTCAGTGGGTGAATGAATAAATGAACTGCGGTACCTCCAGAGAATGTTTTGTCAGTCAGCAACTAAAAAGGAAGAAGCTATCAAGTCAGGAAAAGATATGGAAAGACCTTAAATTAGCATCACCAAGTGAAAGAAACCAAACTGAAAAGGCTACCTACTGTATGATTCCATCTATATGACATTCTGGAAAAGGCAAAACTAGGGAGACTGAGATCAGTGTTGCTAGGGGTTAAGGGAAGGGAAGGAGAAACAGGCAAAGTACATAGGACTTTTAGTGCAGTGAAATTTTTCTATATGATACTATAGTGGTGGATATGTGTCATTAAATATTTGTCAACATTTATATAATATGAACACCAAGAGTGAACACTAATGAAAACTATGGATTTGGGGAGTAGATAATGATGTGTCGATTTAGGTTCATCAGTTTTAATACGTATCCCCTTGTGGTGCCTGGATGTTGCTTGTGGGAGAGATCATGCATGTGTTGGGGGCAGGGGGTATGTGGGAACTCTCTGTACTTTCTGCTTAATTTTACTGTGAAATTAGAACTGCGCCAAAAAATTAAGTGCGTTTAAATGGCTGAGGACATTTAAAGACTGGGACTGATATTTTATCTCAAGATACCTCAAGCAGCTGCAAGCTGCTCCAAATCTCCCTCTGTGGCCACAGACCTTCGATGGAGGCAATGCTGCGTGGCCTTGAGTTTAGTCGTAATCTGGAGGAGTGAAGAACTTGGGATGGTGGCCGCAGAGAAGCATGGCAAAAGCTCAGAAGAAAAATCAGGGCATGGGGAGAATTCCTGTCAGAGAAGCAGCTGCCAGGTGGCTGGTTCTGGAGTGAGCCAACTCACCTTTTCCCTAGAGAGATACTAAGGAAGATAAATGTTGGGTGGGGTTGCACGTGGGGGCTGGATGATAGCCCACATCTGCTTTCATCCCTGTGCAAAGGAACTTATTTTATTTTGTGTTTTTGGTTCTTCTTTTGGGGTATGTAGGGGATAAAATAGGAAATGAGTGTTCAGCACAGAATAGATACTGTTTAAAGTTGTTAGTG